TGAAGGATCTTGGTGATTTGCATTTCTTTTTGGGCATTGAAGTTAAGAAGACTCAAGATGGCATAGTGTTGAATCAAGAGAAATATGCCACTGAGCTTCTAACCCGAATAGGAATGAAGGATTGCAAACCCTCTCCTACACCATTGTCTTCTTCAGAACAACTTTCAGCATATCAGGGAGAACCTCTTAATGAAGAGGAGAGCACAAAATATAGAAGTGTTGTTGGAGCTCTACAATACTTGACTTTGACACGGCCAGATATTTCGTTTGCTGTGAACAAGGTTTGTCAATATTTGCATGCTCCTACCTCCACTCATTGGACGTCTGTCAAACGGATTGTACGATACATTAAGCATACTATGAGTTTGGGACTTCAGTTCAGACGTTCCAGTTCCACACTTGTTAGTGCATTCTCTGATGCTGATTGGGCAGGATGTGTTGATGACAGAAAGTCAACTGGAGGATTTGCAGTATTCTTTGGTTCAAACCTTATTTCTTGGAGTGCCAGAAAACAAGCCACTGTGTCAAGGTCAAGTACAGAGGCTGAATACAAATCACTAGCAAATGCAACTGCTGAAATTATTTGGGTGGAATCTTTGCTTCATGAGCTAGGAATCAAGCAACCTCGTATATCTTGTCTATGGTGTGACAACTTGGGAGCAACCTATCTTTCTGCTAATCCAGTGTTTCATGGTAGAACCAAACACATTGAAATTGATTTTCACTTTGTGCGTGAAAGAGTTGCAGAGAAGAAGTTGGATATACGATTCATTCCATCCAAAGATCAAGTAGCTGATGGGTTTACCAAAGCTTTGCCAACCAAGTCCTTTGAAGAGTTCAAGAGAAATCTTAACATAGGATAGTTTAGATTAAGGGAGGGTGTTAGAGTTTGAACCGTTTAACTCATGTAATCTCTCCTATCTCTATCTACCTCCCGTAGCTATGTCTATCTCCTCAACCGAACCAGATCGGGATTCTTTCTCTGGTCTTGTACGCTACGGCAAAGGCTCGTTCGGCCTTGATATATATACATGCGATGCGGCTCCCTCGAGGAGGTGAAAACGCTTACACAAATTCTTACAGTAGTGTTCGAAAGTTTTGTACTAGCATTTTGTTTCAGCAAATCATGGTAATTGTGCAGTTCACAAAATTGAGCCAAGCTTGCCTTACTGATATACATTTCTTTGGCTGTGTGCATCCTACCTACGCAGAGGCCGGGTGTGCACTCACTGTGTTTGTATCCTCTTGATGCTTCATTTTGAGCCAATGAAATTCACCCTTTGTCGAAAAAACTGATATACATTTCTGTATTTGGAAAGTTTAGCATCTGAAAATGTGTACTCCCTCCGTTCCGATTTAGTTGTCATGGTTTTAGTTCAAATTTGAACTAAAACCACGACGACTAAATCGGAACGGAGGGAGTAGAATTAAAGGGTTCAAAATGGGAGATGTACATGCTATCAGAAAATCACCTGCTGCGAGTTACATGTCTCTGAAGAGGTAAGATAGTGAGCTCAGTGAAGAAGCTGCAAAAATTCTCACCTCTTGTCACCGACGTCCTCAGTCTCCAGCACAGCTTTGCCCGATGAAAATATACTTGGAAGTAATTGTGGCCAATATTTCTTCAAGTAAGAACTTTTGACATCTGGCTGTTTGGGCCATCTGGATTCTGGAGGGAACGTAATGCTCGGTTGTTTGAGAATAGGATCACGCCCATTCTCCAGGTTGTCAGCCAGTTAAAACGGACACTAGCCTCTGGTTGGAGAAGGTTCAGCTTCAGGCTCTAGGGTTCTTTGGGGCTGTGGGGTTTTAGTATGTGGGTGTGATCAACTGATCATGTGTTCCTCCTTTTGTTTCCCTTGTAGTATATCGGTTGTTGCTGTTCGTTTTGGGCTTTCTTTAGGCCTGCTAACATCATTTCCGTAGTGTTTTTTCCCCTGTGCTGTGTGAGGTGAAACTATCAGCGAATGCTACACTCTCTCTAAAAAAGTAATCGGCGAATGCTACAACGCATTTCAGTTTGACGAAGGGCTGCTTCAGAGATTCCTAAATCATGATTAGTAATTTTGAACATTCAAAGTAAATAAAAACAAAAGGAAACTTCTTGAACAAACAGTCAGGGTACACCCAACAGCAGTCATTGAAGTATCACACAATTATTCGTTCAGCCCGAAAGCTGTTGTAGAATAGAAATGTGAAAATAAAATAAATTGTCACCCATCCACTGTATTGGTTCACAATGATGCAGTCTTACAACTGAGAATTACAATGAGACATCTTGGAGACATCTTCTCCGTGGTATCAATCCATGGTATGGGAATACCGGATGTCACGACACACAACAAGGATCTGCTCATCAAATTCCTTCACAAATTCTTTAATAAAGCTAATCTCCCATGGGTGAATCTGATATGAGAGAAATATTACATTTTTTTTTGAGAATCTTTTTTTCTCGAATATGCACGAGTGTGCATATCATATATTAAAGAAGAAAGGCAAAGAAGGCCTCCGCTACAAGTTACATTTACATGTCCGTGCGGCTTTTAGCGCGCACCCGCTCCACCCACGACACCACTACCCTACTCCTCCCTCATCGCCCACCTATGCAATCATCTAAAAAACCCTCCAAATCCATCTTGATTAGCCCGGCCGTAGCCCACACTTTGGCCTCCGTCTTCACCTTGTTGATGAGTCTCGCAATCGATGGGGAGTCACTGTCAAAGACAATGGCATTACAATGCTTCCATAGCTCCCACATGACCAGTAGCAACACCGCACACAAGTCCTTAGTGCACGTAGTATTGTCCACACATCTAGTACATAGCCAGTCCGCAAGTGTGTCCACCTGATTCGGCAGCCAGTCCTCCCTGCCAAGTGCCTCTCCAACTACCATCCATGCCGTCTTGGCGAACACGCACGTGAGCAATATGTGGTTTATTGTTTCCTCTTCCTGATCGCAAAAAGGGCATGCGTCTTGGTGCGGTAGACCCCTCCTGGCTAGCCTGTCCAAGGTCCAACACCGATTCTTTAGGGCGAACCACGCAAAGAAGCGGCATTCCAACGGTGCCCTCGATTTCTACGTCAGCTTCGATGTTGGAACCTCCTTACGTCCCCAGAATCTGCTTGCATATGCCGATCTCACGGTGAATTGGCCATGCATATCCGAGGACCAATGCACCTCGTCCTGCTCCCCCTCCGCGGGCACCTATGCAGCCACCCTACTCCACAACTCCAAGAACTGCCGTAGCATATTCTCATCAAGGTCCGGTCCAACTGCCTGTGCCCATTCGCCACTTACTGCAACCTGACCAACCATGGCCAGTCGTCTGATCCTTGTCGGGATCCTATTATACGAGTCCGGTGCCAACTCCTGCACCCTCATGCCATCTAACCACCTGTCCTCCCAAAACAAGGTTGTCCTTCCGTCTCTAGCATCGGCTCTAGTTGCATCCCGAAAGATGCTAAAAATCAACACCAAATACAATAATATTTATAACGGAGATGCTAAAAATCAGTCGACTGAGACTCACGAAGTCTCAGTCGACAGTCTGGCCGTTCGATGTTTGTCGCTTCACGATTCACGTCATATTGTGTCTTGTATCAATTCGGCCTGTTAAGACATGACCGGCCCACTTCCTTTTTGTTTTTTGAAAGAAGTATAGTTTTCACCCCCAAATCCCTCTCAATGTATCCATAACCCCCCAAAGTCAATTTTGGTATGATTTCAACCCTGAAAATGTTAAAACCGTTTTAATCAAACCCTGAGTGGTTTATTGTCACATCAGAAGCGGTTTTGCAAGGTGGTTTTCGTTTACTCTGATTACTTGGCGCTGGCGTGTCAAAGGGTCGCTCTCAGCATACACTACTCTCGCTCGAACTAGCAGCCACGGACAAAAATTCCCCAAGTTCTCTGCCATCTCGTTCGAACCCTAAATCCCAATCACGGTCGTGCTCTTGAATCGGCTCCACTCCATGACCTCATCCGCAAGCTTCTCAGCGAGCTCCTCCGCCGGCCCCACGTCATATTCCACTGGTACGGCGGCGGCGGCAGCGGCGGCGGCGCAATCGCCGGTGCCATATCGGCAGGGTCCACTACAGTACGAGCCCCAAAACTTGCGCGGCTGCAGATTGGAAGCACCCCGATGGATTTCCTGGAGTGTGAAGAACCTAGGGGGCAGGTTCTACAATTGCGGAAATCAAAGGTTCTTGTTGTTCTTTTTGGAACTGATTTTTGGAACTGAGAAGAAACAGTTGGTAGAATCTCTCTCTAAGTTGAAGCTCGCATGGATAAGGCTGTAGATGTGGAGATGGGCATGAGGTCTTTTGTGCATGAGATGCAGTTCAAGCACGCAGCAGAACTAGAAGAACAAATGCATAGGAAATTGGAAAGATTTAGAAAGATGTGGTAGCATCTTGTAATCTGCTTGGTGGTTGCTTTCTTCTTTTTTGTTATGAGATGAATTGGTACTGTAATGTGGCATGATCTTTTGAAAGATTTAGAGAGATGTGGCAGTATGTTGAGCAAGATGTGCCAGTATGTTCAGACATGTTTGTATGTGACTGTAGACCAACGAATTTTGTTCAGTACTGGCTTGCAAAGTACAATTTTTTTGCTATCTGATTTGCTATGTGACTGTAGACCAACTAAAGGAAAATATGCTATCTTCAGTAATCGCTTACACAGTACAATATTTTGTAATCTGACTATAGATGATCTCAAAGAAAATTTTAATATCTATTTAAGTGATAGTACAAAGAAGTGACAGTGCATGTTCAGTACTAGCTTTCATTCTTATATATGTACAGCAAGCAACACATCTTGTGCATTTTCAGTGACAGTAAATAGTTCCAAAAAGATCATAGATCATGTACTTCACAATACACCATAATTCAGAGTAGATAAATAGTTCCAAAAAGACCATAGATGTTCCTATCATGCTGAAATAAACATTTGGACATTGGCTCTTCACATAAACTAATTTAGAGTACATGAACACAATTCAGAGTACTCTTGTCCCTCTATGCCCAGAGTAAGTTTCACCAACATCAACTGTGACCAAACCTTCATAACTATATGCAGTCTCCCTCTGACATGTGTCCTCCTGCTCAAAATGCTCTTGAATTGCTTCCATAATGTGCAGATCAGACTCACCTACATGCTCCAATTCCTCCACATAAATGTCAGCAAAATCACCATATGAAATTGCATTGTCCACCTGTGCAACTGAATCATTGTATTGCAGAAAAAGAAGTCCATTTGACAGGTTTTCCCCTGGAACTAACCAGTGCAGCTTGTAGGTATAGTTTCCTTTGCAGTGACCTCTTTCTACCTGATGCAAATCTTCAGTATATAAACACAATTCTGCATAACTTAGCATGTCTCTTGGAATAAACATTTCTGCTTGTATCTCTCCTGGGTAATCAACCTGTCCATCCTTCCTCACAAAATAGCCGAAGTAATGGAATCTCACATACATGTAATCAAGTGGATCGGGAGGATCCAAAGAAGCTGCAAATTCAGAGAAATTTCTGGTTAGCTGTATAGTCCAAATATTCAGTCAAAATATAGAGCAAATAACTGACAGATTCCAAATATTCAGACCATCTTTCCTCTCAACTACAAAGTTAAATGCAGATTCGACGTGCAAGTAACTAACAAAGTGCAAATATTCAGTTACATACAAAGTTAACATTTCTTCAGTCAAATGCAGAGTTAACGCACTCCACATGATCAACCAAAATTCAGTATAAATCAGAGTTACCACTATCGCCTAGCCAAAATGCAGTCAAAATCGCTATGCTCGGTTATTTCAACCCAATCATCAATGAATCCATATAAAAGAACCTACTTTCTTCCAAAAACATCTGGCGATCATCCACAAAATAGAGCCTTTTTTCATATATAAGAACAACATCAGGAACAACCACACATGTTGCCACGAAGCAGGAAGAACAGCTTGATGGACGAACATACCTGCGGCCATAGCTTCAATCCAATGGAGATGGAGTCGCCACGGTCGACGACGGCGCCCCAACCGCCGTCGACGGCGGCGTAGCCCTAACAACTTGATGGGCGCCGTACGCTTGCTTTATCCCATGCGAAATCGATGGCCAGGGGCCAACGATTGACGGCGGCAGTCGACGGCGGCGGTCTACAGCGACCGTTGATAGAGAAGGTGCTGGGGGTGTGGCGGCGGTGGCAGCGACGACGGTGGTTGCGGTGCTTCTGCTTTGGGTGAACAGGGGAACCAGGGAAACACTAGAACTTAACCGCTCGACCAACTGCCACGTCACCAACACATATGCGCCAAATCACAATCCAAATTGCAAAACCGCTTCTGATGTGACACTAAACCATTCAGGGTTTGATTAAAACGGTTTTGATATTTTCAGGGTTAAAATCATATCAAAATTGACTTTGGGCGGTTATGGATACATTGAGAAGGATTTGGAGGTGAAAACTATACTTCTTTCTTGTTTTTTTGCGGCGAAAGGCTACGCGCGGCTGGCCAGCGGCTGGATGGCCTTTTCTGTTGTTTTGCTTTTGCTGTTATTTTTTATTTTTTATTTCCCTTTTCTATTTTAGTGTATATAATCATCAATTTATTTTTGTTAAAATGGTTTACTTGTAATTTCTTTTTATATTTTGGCAATACAGAACATCTAAATTTTGTAGAATAGACTTTTTTTACATGCATGAAGGATTTTACGCTCGCTTATTGATATCTTTTGTACATGGATTTTTTGTTTGTTTGTATGTTGCATGTTCTTTTTTGTACATGGATTTTTTGTTTATTTGTATGTTGCCTGTTCTTTTTTGTAATTTTTTTTGTTTCAGTCATGTATTACCTAGGAATATTTTTTCGTAATGTTGATATGCCCTATTTTTTCCCACGTCAGGTTGACAGAAAAACTGTTGCCTTTTCTTTTTATTTGTCACATAAACTCTTGTTCCCCTTACGTACAACTAGAATTATCGGAATCATGCAACTACGAGGGTGCAACACGTATGCAATTGCATGCATCCAAAATTACGTGCAACTCAAGGGGTAAAACACGTCCGCAATTGTGATGAGACTTGTGTGGTGATGAGATCGAAACACGCATAATATGGGGAATTTTATTATTTAACTTTATAGTTTTTGTACTTTTATTTTCCCATCCACATGAAGTCGACATCCAGTGGGATATTCAATTTTCTTTTGTTTTTCATGCAATTTGCCCCGTCGATGAGGTGTTTCTTTCTTTCTTTTTATTGCTCATTTCAAACTTTTTTCTTGCTACCTTTTTTATTTTTCATGTTTTTACTAAATAACCGTTTCACTTTTGAAAATTGGAAATGTTGCCATCTGGTTGCACAATCGGCCCCGACTGCAACTACATGTCTTCAACATGATGGTAACTCAGTGGTGTTTTTGTTGGGGAGGGAGTAGCTAGCAAGGGTCACCCCTAGGTACAGCTACACATCTTCAACGCGATTGCAATTCTTTGGTGTTCTATTGGAAGATGTGGTAGTTGCATGTCTATCACTAGGCACACAACTCCAAGTGCCCGCCAACTAAAAACCCTATGATGTTCCATCGGGAGGACAATTGCATGCTTGGAACTAGCATGCAATTGCAAGTGTCTTGTCCTGACTGCAACTGCAACTCTTCAACGCAATTGCGACTCTGTATTGTTTTGTCGGGGAGGGACAATTGTATGTTTGATACTAGACATGCAACTGCAAGTATCGCCTCATAATGCAACTATGTGTTGTTTTGTGAGGGGGTGGGTGAGTGTGGAGTTGCATGTATACAACCAGGCTCGCAACTCTGATTGTCGTGCCCCATCTGCAACTGCATGTCTTGTAACCCGACCGCAAGTGGACTTTTTTTCCTGTCGGAGGGGGCGGGCCAATTGCACGCCCGACAATAGCCCCGCAACTGCAAGCGCCGCACCCGACTACAACTACATGTCTCCCAACATGGTTGCAACTGGCCCTTTGTTTTGATGAAGGGGGCGGGCCAGTTGCATGTCCGACACTAGGCATGCAACTGCAAGTGTCGCACTCGACCGCAATTGCATGTCTTCTAGCCCGACCACAACTGCATGTCTTCTAGCCCGACCGCAACTGAACTTTTTTGTTCTGTCAGAGGGGGCAACGCTAGAGGGGGCCGACGAGTTGCAAGCCCAACAACATCCCCGCGACTGCAAGCACTGCACCCGCCAAAATTGCATGTCCCCCAACATGGTTGCAACTAGACCTTTGTTT